AAAACAACAGTCTACAAAACACTTCATAAAAAACTAACAATTAGGGGTAATCTCAGGTACTTCGGAAAGGTTAGCAGATCCTGCTCAACATTTAAAAATCATGCTTCGTGATACTCCGTTTAAAATATGTTGATAAGTTATATCAAGTAATAAGGCATCACTACAAAGCGATAATTGACTCTTATCTTATCTAACCCTGAGACATCACTTATTCGTAAAACTTCGGTCATGCTAATTATTAAACCATTAGACTAGTCCGAAATAGAAATTTGGAAATTAAAACATTTCGTGTGGCCAAGGGATAGATAAGACTTGTTGTCGGTTATCGGTAAAAAAAACCGCAGGAATTAAACAAGTTAAAAGCCCAAAGAACAACAACCAAACCAAAGCAAGAGCAGCACGAAAAACTCTTTTAAACAAAACTAGGAAATATGTCAGGAGCTCCGACAGGGCAAATCCTTTTCCAAAAGTAGCAGGCTTGGGTGGCTCTTAGTAAGTACACATTCAGTGTGCAGTCTTATTCGGCTATGTCACAATCAAGGAAAAGAGGACGGGAGAGTCGCTCAACAATTGGAACATATCCGTAATCATCTCTGACTCAGATATTCCATAACGGTCAACCAACTCACTATAGCTTCCGTAAAATTTGCAAAGGAAATACCTTTACAGGAAGGAACCCTTGTAAACTGCAAGATTCTATCAAGAAATCATGATAGGAATAGAAAGCTCTTGAATGGCATATCAAGTTGAAGATATATACTGCATATGCAGACGCTGCTGGTTTATTGCTACATAGAAATGGAAAGTACACAGTTGGAAAGCCGAAATCATCTATTTTATCGTAAGGGTGTTCTAATCAACCGATCCTGATTATCAATTATATAGTTCGTGTTTGTCCATTTACAAAATTAAGCCACATTTTTTGGGACATTTTTATCTTATTATTTCTATATTTTTTTGTATATATCTCATGAAAACTTTTTTTGTTTCGGAGCACGCTTGATTGAAGCAGTACATTATAAATGTTTGTGTCCCCGAGGATATCATCAGCTCAGTAGTCAGTATTTCGGTACTGACAAGATTTATAACAAACCTTTCTAAAATTGTCCGTTTATAAATTTTGAAATTATAAAGAAACTAAGGTTTCAACTCCCTCGGGCAAAGTTGACCTTAGATGAATTTGGTTATTTTAAAAGGCACTTTTTGGTCATATAGTTCTTCAACTGTTTCGGTTCTTATACATCCTCGGCTTTCAAATATTCGGATTTGAGCGTTCCTGATGAAGGTAAATCCAGAAAAGCGATTCGAACGCATGAAATTGATAACGTGTTGTTTTCGTTTTTTTTAAGTAAATTGTGTCATTGTTCTACACATTTATAACCCTTTCAGGCAAAGATAATCAAGACATAACCAAGCTTGTCAGTCCTAACATAGCCAAACATAACTACGGAATGTGTCAGCTAAGATATAACCAGGCTTGTCCGTCCTAACATAGCCAATAATAACTACAAAATGTGTCAGCTAAGATATAACCAGGCTTGTCAGTCCTAATATAGCCAGTAATAACTACGAAATGTATCAGCTAAGATATAACCAGGCTTGTCAGTCCTAACATAACCAATAATAACTACGGAATGTGTCAGCTAAGATATAACCAGGCTTGTCAGTACTTACATAGCCAATAATAACTACGAAAAATGTCAGCTAAGATATAACCATGCTTGTCAGTCCTAACATAGCCAATAATAACTACGAAATGTGTCAGCTAAGATATAACCAGGCTTGTCAGTCCTAACATAGCCAATAATAACTACGAAATGTGTCGGCTAAGATATAACCAGGCTTGTCAGTCCTAACATAGCCAAATATAACTACGAAATGTGTCAGCTAAGATATAACCAGGCTTGTAAGTCCTAACATGGCCAAATATAACTACGAAATGTGTCAGCTAAGATATAACCAGGCGTATCAGTCCTAACATAGCCAATAATAACTACGAAATGTGTCGGCTAAGATATAACCAGACTTATCAGTCCTAACATAGCCAATAATAACTACGAAATGTGTCAGCTAAGATATAACCAGGCTCATCAGTCCTAACATAGCCAATAATAACTACGAAATGTGTCAGCTAAGATATAACCAGGCTTATCAGTCGTAGCATAGCCAATAATATCTACAAAATGTGTCAGCTAAGACATAACTAGGCTTGTCAGTCCTAACATAGCCAATAACAACTACGAAATGTGTCAGCTAAGATATAACCAGGCTTGTCAGTCCTAACATAACCAATAATAACTACGAAATGTGTAAGCTAAGATATAACTAGGCTTATCAGTCCTAACAAAGCCACCATTACCACGAAATGTGTCAGCTAATATATAACCAGGCTTATTAGTCCTAACATAGCCAATAATAACTACGAAATGTGTCAGCTAAGATATAACTAGGCTTATTAGTCCTAACATAGCCAATAATAACTACGAAATGTGTCAGCTGATATAACCAGGCTTATCAGTCCTAACATAGCCAAAAATAAATGCGAAATGTGTCAGCTAAGATATAACCAGGCTTGTCAGTCCTAACATAGCCAATAATAACTACGAAATGTGTCAGCTAAGATATAACCAGGCTTATCAGTCCTAACATAGCCAATAATAACTACAAAATGTGTCAGCTAAGATATAACCAGGCTTGTCAGCCCTAACATAGCCAATAATAACTACGAAATGTGTAAGCCAAGATATAACCAGGCTTATCAGTCGTAACATAGCCAATAAATAACTACCATGTTTAACCACGCCGCATGTTTGCGTCTGTCCCAAGTCAGGAGCCTCTGGCCTTTGTTAGTCTTGTATTTTTTTTTATTTTAGTTCATTTATATGTTTCGGAGTTTAGTGTTACGTCCATTTTCACTGAACTAGTACACATTTTTGTTTAGGGGACAGCTGAAACCCGCCTCCGGGTGCGGGATTTTTTCGCTGTGTTGAAGACCCATTGGTGGCCTTGGGCTGTTTTCTGCTCTTTGGTCGGGTTTTTGTCTCTATGACACGTTCCCCATTTCCATTCTTAATGTTATTATCAGTCTTAACACAGCCAATGATAACTACGAAATGTGTCAGCTAAAAGGACGTATTCATTTAGCCTTTATTCCTAAAATTGAATGAAAATTTAAAAAAAAAAAAAACACAACAAGAAAGGTGTCACATGTGGAGCAGGATTCAGAGTTCTTTCTATATATTGCTAAAAAGTAGAAAAGACGACATTGTCTCTTGTGGAGAGTTGTCTCATTGGCAATCATACCACATCTTCTTTTTTGTATTGGTACTCATTTATTTCTGTAACAACTGGTATAGGTACCAGATATGCGTCCCTCTCGTCGAGTTGTCCCTTTATTCACTATGAGAAAGATATCATAAAGTAGACTCGAAATAAGGACGCTATAATTCAGCTCCTAATTGTGAACTTTCCATTTCTATGTAGCAAAATTCCGGCAGCGTTGGCATATAGAGTATATATGTCCCAGTTGATACAATATCCCAGAGGTTGCATTTCTTATTATGATTTCCTTAATAGAGGATTGCTGTTCACAGGGAAGCTATCAAACCAAGAGCTCAAAGTTGTGTTGTTGAAATCATCCCTTCGAAAATTTTAAGGACGCCTTCACCCGTTGGTTGACCATTATGGAATATCTGTTTCACAGATGACGACGGATATTTTCAATTTGTCGTAACCACAATCCCGTCCTCTTTTTCTCGAATATGAACTACCGATTAAGATTTTATCAACGAGTTTGTACTTACATGAGCAACAAGAAAGGTGTCACATGTGGAGCAGGATCTGATTACTCTTCCGGAGCACCTGAAATCACCCCTCCCCCCCCCCCCCCCCCCCACGGTGCCTTGCCGCTAAGAGTTTATTTTCGAGTTTGAATGCTCCTTTGGTATCATTCGCCTCTCTGTTAAACTAAGACTCATGTGAAATTGTGTTCTTTTATGTATTTTCAGTTGAACCTGCTACATATATGTTTCACATATTCAGCCAAAACCGATATAATTCCTACAGATATTTTTATTCTCAGACATCATTAGATTAGTATTGATGATGAGCGTACACATATCTCTTTGTTGACCTTACATTTAAAATTTCCTTTGAAGGGATGCAAAACTTACCATATTTTTGCATTAATGATTTAACTCTGAAAACACTTTAAAATGTAAGTGATCTCGAGATGGCACTAACGGAGGAAAAGATTAATGATAAATGTCGAGACCGGTACGGAAATCATAGAGACATCTTATATTTGTGAAATGTTTTTACATCCTTATAATTCCTCTTTTAATCTATGTTTTCTTAAATATATTTCTAAAATTATTTGCATTTAAATGTTGTTGATTTTATCGCACTTTAACACTAGTCAATACTATTTGAAAGACTTTTATCAGCATGCAAATGCTATTTACATATTTGTATCATTTTATTTAGTTTCTGTCTCAATTACCATATTGATGTAAACGTTCTATTTAATATAAACAAAAAATAAACAAAAAAACAAACAAATGTTAATCAAAGATCTGAAATTGTCTAGTGCTTTGTAGGAAGTTGGAGCATTTGTTCGGAACAATATATAGTTTTTAACTCAGATAAAGATTTCATGAAGTAATTTTGTAGATTTTCAATAACTATATGTACATCAACGTAGACAGGTTTACTAAGCATACTAAAAATAGTAGTCGAAAGGAAACAAATAATACAGTTACTCTAAATTTATTAGGATTATTAACTAAGTTACTACCGCCACAGGGGACCCCCAACCCCCCCAACCCCTCAAAAAAAAGAACGAAAGAAAAAAGACGAAAAAACGCTTACACATATTGCTATTGCATCTGCACTGTTCGTTAATAATAATACAACGAAATTTGTTTTCAAAAGCCAGAAAAAAAGAAATGTCTGAATACAATTAACAAATTGTTATTTCATAACTTTTAATTTTGACTTACCTTGAAGATATCGGATAGCGACGCACATAAACTCTCCAAATATGAAGTTCCTCAAAAGTAACGGAATGAGAGTAAAAGGCATACAGAATACTGCTAACAGTAAATCACTGATGGCGAGGTTTAACAGGAAAACGTTAGTTATTGTCCGCATCCTCCGGTTTTGAAATAGTGTTAGTATAACTAAAGAATTTCCCATCACCGAAAGAAGGAAAATTATCGCATACAATGGTATTCTAATATTCCCATCGGCATCAAAAAAATCCCTTTCAAAAGTCCCGTTCGAGGAATTCGACACGTTCTGTGCTGTGAAACTCATTTTTGTAAAATAAAACGCATAAATACAATTCAAAAATTATTTGTACAAATATGTTTGTATATTTAAATTATATCCGGTTTGTCAGTACTCCAATGTAATTTGTCGTATGTCCTATGGCTTACTGATCATTGGTTTAGATTGCCTAGAGTTAAAACATTCACTCGTCAATGGAAACCATGTGATTTTCATGTAAATATCAGTTAACCTTCTAACAATGTACACATGAAATATAAATTGAATGCTTATCGGCTTAAGATAGTTCTATAAACTGTTATTTGATTTTCCAATCACCAATTTGGATGTACAAATTAGAAATAGCAAAAACTATTCGGTGTTATGGAAATCAATGTATTGCATATTTCTGAGAAAAAGAAATGATAACGTCATCGAAATATTAACACGTTATCTCTAACAGTAACAGTAACAGTAATTCATTTTGTTTAATGATGCTTCGATTAATTCATTTCGGTTTGCACAAAAAAAAAAAAAGACAAAAAACAAAAAAATGCAAAAACATATGTTGTATAAATAGTGTGTGAAGTCTTGATAGAATGCAACAGATGATAATACAAGATTGATTCTGACAGATCACGCACTATTAAAGTAGAGATTAATATTTATCACTTGATATCGAGAAACGTAACTGTGCGAGGATATGTATTTACACATTACATTCCAATAATACAATTCTACCGGGATGCAAAACCATATGCATTTATTTCTTTTCGTTTTCACGCTTTTGATAAAACCTTTTTTTACTTACTGTAATGTAAGTTATATTCTTCTTCTTTTTAACATTAATTCAATTTCCTTATATTAGTTTAAAGTCATATGAAACGAGTTTCTTGAAATTATAACGTTAAGGGTATTTTTTAAGCAATTCATGTATATATACTATACTAAGTCCTCTATGCACGATTCTTCACAATAATTACGAATCCATAACAAATAATCGACTAAATTATTTCATTCAGTGAAAACTAAACCTGCTTATTAACTTTTGTATTTTATTGTCGAGGTTTATCTTACTTATTGTCACCATGAAAGATAATCAACACAAAAACATGGAGCACGTGAAAAATAAGTGAGATAATAGACATTCAATAGAGCGATGATAATTATATTTTCCATGCGTATCTATATGGGAACATTTCCATATAACAAAAATGAACTGCCGTATTCTTGTTCAAGTATCTATTCTAGCACTGTTCGGCTGGCATCAGAATTTCTCAATCTTAAATCGTTTTTCAAGTATTAAACTATATCTAGATTCCCATCGAAATAGAGTGGCAAGCTCATGTTTCTCAGTATATGCATTCAATATGTATGATTATGTTTAACAGAAATAACGCAATTTTTACAGATCATTTAAAAGAAAATTTGCCTTAAGTATATGTCGAAATAAAATCATTAAAGAAACATATTCCTACACTGTATCTCATCTGATACCTTGATATTTCCCAATTCTCGGCAAGCCACGCGTTTTAAAACTTGAAAATGAGTGAAGAAATATCGTATCCCACTCGATGAAGTGATATCTCTTCTATGAAAATTGAATGATTTTGACGTCTTTTTGCATATTATCTGTACAAGTTAAGGTTTTCTGTGTGACCCTACCATTTGAAATTGCAACATACACAGGGAAATTTCACTCACATCAAGTTCACGTGAATTTAGATTCATGTGAATCTCACGTGAAATTCACGTGAATTTCACCTCAAACGAGCTTAAACTTGAAACTCACGTGAAATCAATCTTTAGAATAAAGTAAGTCAAATAACATATAAATTTTCAAATTTTATTAAAATCATGAAAAATACCATCTTTTTTTGTAAAGTTCATGTGAGATTCAGGTAAATTTTCACGTGAATTTCATGAATAACCTCATCTGAGGTGAATCTCACGTGGAATTTTTCACGTGAATTTCAAGTGAGTTGCATGTGAAATTCACTTGAGCAAATGTTGCCTGTGTAATAAAGCAAAACTTTTATGTCGTATTTCGGACCATAACTAAATTATAACTGCTAAAATAAATCCAGGGTGAGTAGTTATAGTTATAACAAACAAAAGTAAACATATAGAATGAGAAATTTATTTAAATCGATTGAGGGACTTTTATGACAATTGCCTTAGTTTGAAATAATTACAAGAAAACTTGACTTTACCCCTACAAACATTTTCTCGTCACAATTTTAAGACTGCATGATCTTTACAAATACATGAACAAATTAACAGTGACGAATCCACTATAACATGACAATAATTCTTAAATCTAACGGCGATATTTTAATGATTTCAATATTGGTTATTTTTATTTTGTAAAAGCTGTCAAATTTTGCTACTTTGAAACATTAATTGTGAAGGAAATAGTTCATTAATTTTCACTGATAAACACAACATCTAACTACGATAACTATATATAACTACCGACGTGGGAGGACAGAAAGCAGATTGACAAAGGAATTTAATTAATTTGACTTTGTTGTACAAATGGATTGAAATATCAACGAAGAACATTATCTTTGAATCAGATGTATGTATATGTCACAGTTTAAATCAAATCACTTAGCATTTCAGGAACACATTAAGTGTGACACAGGAAAGTGAGAAATTATCATGAGGATTTCCTACAACAAAACAAAGCGTAAAATCAGTTAGTTTATTTCTACCTAGTATCTGTCCATAATACTTTAAATCTAATGGTTACAGTCAGTTAATGTCTACCAAGTACCTGTCAATAATACATTAAGCCTTATGCTTACCGTTAATCTCTACCTAGTATCTGTCCATAATACTTAAAATCTAATGGTTACAGTCAGTTAATGTCTACCATGTACCTGTCCATAATACATAAAGTCTTGTGCTTACAGTTAATCTCTACCTTGTATCAGTCCATAATACCTTAAATCTTATGGTTACAGTTAATCTCTACCTTGTATCAGTCCATAATACCTTAAGTCTTGTGCTTACAGTTAATCTCTACCTAGTATCTGTCCATATAATACCTTAAATCTTATGGTTACAGTCAGTTAATGTCTACCTAGTACCTGTCCATAATACCTTAAATGTTATCGTTACAGTTAATCTGAACCCAGTTTAAGTCCATAATACTTGAAATCTTATGGAAACAGTAAATCTCTACCTTGAATCAGTCCATAATACCTTTAATCTTATGGTAACAGTTAATCTCTACCTTGTATCAGTCCATAATACTTTAAATCTTAAGGTTACAGTTAATCTCTACCCAGTATCTGTCCAAAATACCTTAAATCCTATGGTGACCGTTAATCCCTACCCAGTATCTTTCCATAATACCTTAAATTTTATGGTAACATTTAATCTCTTCCTAGTATCTGTCCATAATACTAGTACCTTAAATCTTATGGTAACAGTTAACCTCTTCCTTGTATCAGTCTATAATACTTTAAATCTTAAGGTTACAGTTAATCTCTACCCAGTATCTGTCCATAATACCTTAAATCCTATGGTAACCGTTAATCTCTACCCAGTATCTGTCCATAATACCTTACATTTTATGGTAACATTTAATCTCTACCTAGTATCTGTCCATAAACCTTAAATTTTATGGTAACATTTAATCTCTTCCTAGTATCAGTCCATAATACTAGTACCTTAAATCTTATGGTAACAGTTAACCTCTTCCTTGTATCAGTCCATAATACATTAAATCTTATGGTAACAGTTAATCTCTACCTTGTATCAGTCCATTATATCTGAAATCATATGGTAACAGTTAATCTCTTCCTTGTATCAGTCCATAATAACTTAAATCTTAAGGTAACAGTTAATCTCTACCTTGTATCAGTCCATAATACCTTAAATCTTAAGGTTACAGTTAATCTGGACCCAGTATCAGTCCATAATACCTTAAATCTTATGGTAACAGTTAATCTCTACCTTGTATCAGTCCATAATACCTTAAATCTTATGGTAACAGTTAATCTCTACCTTGTATCAGTCCGTAATACCTTAAATCTTATGATAACAGTTAATCTCTACCTTGTATCAGTCCATAATACTTTAAATCTTATGGTAACAGTTAATCTCTACCTTGTATCAATCCATAATACCTTAAATCTTATGGTAACAGTTAATCTCTACCTTGTATCAATCCATAATACCTTAAATCTTATGGTAACAGTTAATCTCTACCTTGTATCAGTCCATAATACCATAAATCTTATGGTAACAGTTAATCTCTACCTTGTATCAGTCCATAATACCATAAATCTTATGGTGACAGTTAATCTCTACCCTGTATCAGTCCATAATACTTTAAATCTTATGGTAACAGTTAATCTCACCTTCTATCAGTCCATAATACCTTAAATCTTATGTTAAAAGTTAATCTCTACCTTGTATTAGTCCATAATACCTTAAATCTTATGGTAACAGTTAATCTCTACCTTGTATCAGTCCATAATACCTTAAATCCTATGGTAACAGTTAATCTCTACCTTGTATCAGTCCATAATACCTTAAATGTTATCGTTACAGTTATTCTGAACCCAGTTTAAGTCCATAATACTTGAAATCTTATGGAAACAGAATATCTCTACCTTGAATCAGTCCATAATACCTTTAATCGTATGGTAACAGTTAATCTCTACCTTGTATCAGTCCATAATACTTTAAATCTTAAGGTTACAGTTAATCTCTACCCAGTATCTGTCCATAATACCTTAAATCCTATGGTAACCGTTAATCTCTACCCAGTATCTGTCCATAATACCTTAAATTTTATGGTAACATTTAATCTCTACCTAGTATCTGTCCATAATACTAGTACCTTAAATCTTATGGTAACAGTTAACCTCTTCCTTGTATCAGTCCATAATACTTTAAATCTTAAGGTTACAGTTAATCTCTACCCAGTATCTGTCCATAATACCTTAAATCCTATGGTAACCGTTAATCTCTACCAAGTATCTGTCCATAATACCTTAAATTTTATGGTAACATTTAATCTCTACCTAGTATCTGTCCATAATACTAGTACCTTAAATCTTATGGTAACAGTTAACCTCTTCCTTGTATCAGTCCATAATACATTAAATCTTATGGTAACAGTTAATCTCTACCTTGTATCAGTCCATTATATCTGAAATCTTATGATAACAGTTAATCTGGACCTTGTATCAGTCCATAATATTTTAAAACTTATGGTAACAGTTAATCT